TCAAGCTCGGAGGCGGTATTGGAAATCATTGCAATGAGCAGTGTTGTTCGTTGAATTTGTTCATGAATTCTTCGGTTCTTAAATTTCAAGTTGAGAAGGAACAAATGGTGTTCTTGCTTGATGATCGCACTAAGTTCGGCTTCCTTGCTTTGTAGCTTGGGGTGAATGTGTGTCCTTAGGCTTCGATGCACATCGGCACGTCCAGACCGTGTTAATGCACTCTCTCTGTCTGCCGGCCTCTCTGCAGTGGGCAGGACGTGGCCAGTATCCTCCAGCTGGTGCAGAACCTGATGCATGGAGACGAGGAGGAGGAGACGCAGGGATACCGGTAAGGACATGCCCCGCAGTGCCTGCTCTCAAGCTCCACCACCGGAAACAGCTGGGCTTCGAACCTTCGCCCACAGCAGGCCATTAGCACAGTTCACACAGGGGGTCAGCAGGCCGGGGACAAGCCAGAGGCTGTATGCAGCCTACACCTTTGCTCCGAGGGCTTTTGGAAACAGCAGGTCATCTGCACTGTGCTACACAGTGCTTCACTGACATGTCTCAGCGGTAGCCCAGTCCAAGCCCTTTTAACCAGTGCACTCCGCCAGCAGTCGACACGTCCACACACAATACTGTGTGTGAGTGTAAATAAATGTCAACTCGGAACTCGTGAAGTGGCACCTCAGATTCACTTTGATTTTAAGTGAGACGCATGGGGGGAAAAAAAAATCGGTTCCGTTTCAAAATTATATTGTGCTAAAAAATGAAGAAGGAGCAGAGCTGACGGGGTCCCTCCCAAACGCCTGGGCCCTGGGCGCGTGCCTGGTTTGCCTGGGCCTTCACGCGGCCTTGGCATCGAGCAGTTCCCATTTCACGGTCGCCCCAGTTCCAGTTCCGAGACTGTCCTTTTCCCAGTGACTGCTGCGCACAGTTTCCAGCTTAAATGACAGGTTGGTGCAGTTGTGAAAAGCACAGCCGCGCGGCCCCGCCGCAGGCCGCGCTCGTGGTTTTGGCGTGGGCAGAAGCCGGATGCCGGGCCGCGCGGCTGCGCCTGACGCTGGTGCTTGCTGGTCCTTGTCCCCCCCCTTCCCCAGCAGGATGCAGAATGTCGGGGAGCAGGGTCACATGGCCCTGCTGGGGCACAGCCTGGCCGCCTACATCTCCGTGCTGGACCGGGAGCGGCTGAGGAAGCTGACCACACGCATCCTGTCGGACACCACGCTCTGGCTCTGCCGGCTCTTCAGGTCTGCTCCCCGCCTGGGCTCCCTGCCAGGCCGCCGCGCCGGCGACCCCTTAAGCCAGCCTTGTGCACCTCCTCCCAGCCAGATTATCCTTGGTGACCTCATGTGCACTGAAAATAAAGAATATAGGGCAGCACAGGGGCGCAGTGGTCAGCACTGCTGCCTCACAGCCCTGGAGCCCTGGGTTCCATCCCGGGCCTGGGGTGCTGTCTGTGTGGAGTCTGCATGTTCTCCCCGTGTTGGTGTGGGTTTCCTCCAGGTGCTCCAGTTCCCAGACACGGGGGAGGTTATTTGGCCTCTGGGAATATTGCCCCTGGTGTTAAGTCTGTGCGTGTCTGTGTCTATGGCTGGGGGCTCCCTGTGGTGGACTGGCATCCCGTCCGGGGTGTATCCTGCCCTGCATCCAACGCTTGCTGGGATAGGCTCCAGCTCCCCCGCCATCCCGAATTGGGGTTGGGAAGAGGCTTGAAAATTGATTGACAGATAAAGAAGATATTGTACTGCAGCGTCACCAAGGAATCCAGGAATCAGGCCTGTTTCAGGATGTGTATTGAGCGTTGAGTTATTGTGAGTTTCGGGCTTAACCCACTTGGCTGTAGGACTTTGCAACCAGTGTTGTGGATAAAAAAAAAAGGATTTTTTCTAGCTGAAGTGAAGAGTTATGCACTCTCCCCTTAGTTACTGACTTACTGATCCACCCTTAATGGTGAAAAAGCATAGCAGGTCCGCAGAGCAAAATCGGGCCGTTCATTTTCAAGGTTTTTAGTTTCCGTCTCACGTGAAGTTTCTCAGACTTCATTACGTGTGTGTGTGTGTGTGTGTGTTTCACTTCTGAGTTAAAACCTGCTCTCTCCTTTTTCCTCCAAATCCTGCTTTTCTCCTGCTCTGGCCAGATATGAGAATGGGTCGGCGTACTACCACGAGGATGACCGGGAGGGACTGATCAGAGTGTGCCGACTGGTCATCCACTCCCGATACGAAGATTACTCCAGCGAGGGCTTCACGGTGCTCAACTGCAAACAGCCTGTCATCTACCAGAGTGCCGCCTGCAGGCAGGGGCTGGGACAGCACCTCTGCACCCAGGTACCATACCCCTCGGCCTGGAGTTGCATCTTGATAGAGATCAGGAATGATCCATTCTGGTGACAGAACTGGCCCCCGTGCAGGGAATCTACTTAATGTATGTTCTTGGAACTGTAGCTATGTGCCCATTGTCGGTCTGAGTGAGGTAGGTCTGTGAATATGAGTCATTTCTCTGGTAGGTGTCCTGGTGGTGAATGGATTCAGAATCCTGTGCATCAGGTCTGCAGAGCTCAGATGTTGACTTTCTGGCACTGCAGGCAGGGTGAACTTGTAAATCCGGTTAGTGAAAAGAAGTATCGGATGAGTTTTTTGTAGCACAGGCAGCCAGAGAAAGAATAGGTCAGGGGGAGAGGTCTTGCAGGGGAGTGTAAACTTGCTGAAGATTCTTGGCCTTTTCTGCGCCTCTTTGTTCAGTGTCCACGGTGATTCTTAAGCTTCATTTTATGCCTCCTACAGGAGGTGTGTGAAAATAAATAGTTTTAAATCGTCATTTTATTTAAAAAGGTTAAAACTAAACATTTTGTGCATCATTCTGCGAGCTTCACTATTCATTTTTACGAAGCTAATTGACACAGTAGTGTTACAGCAGCCAGGGTTTAACAGCAGCAGCAGTATAAATAGTCCCTGTTTGTCTGGCATTGCTCTTGGGTGCGAGCTGTGTGACTGTATAGGGTACTGCTCTGTTTGCGTGTATAAGGCATGACCAGGTGAATGCAGAACAAGGAAGAGTGTCTGTATAGGATGCAGTTTTGCAAAGAAAACATAATCAGTCTCTCTCTTCTCAGCTGGGCCTGCCCCTCTCCAGCCTGTGCACAGTACCCTGCAACACCATGTTTGGATCCCAGCACCAGATGGTGAGATTTCAAAGTATTTGCTCGTTATTGCAACTTTTTCAATTTAATCAGGTCACCCAGTTTATCGTCAGACTTCCTCTGATATTTACCAGTTTGTTCTGGTTTACACTGCCTTCCGAGCTTCTGATTTACCTTGCTTGACGAAGTGTCGTCACGATGTGCCCAGTATTGCCCCTTTGACCCACACTGCCTGTCTCCCTGCTGCAGGACGTCGCCTTGCTGGACAGGCTGGTGAAAGACGACGTGGACTCTGGGAAGCTCCCCCTGCTGCTCATCGCCAATGCTGGTGAGTGCTGGAGGGCGCGTGGCGGGCTGGTCTTCCCTGAGGTGCAGAGAGGGAGTGCAGACACTCCTGTGCTAGTCCCGCATGTCCCAGCCCTGCCTGTCTCCCTCCCCAGGGACGCCTGGCGCTGGACACACGGACAAGCTGGGGCGGCTGAAGGAGCTCTGTGCCCAGTACGACATGTGGCTTCATGCGGAGGGGTGAGAACTCGGGGACGTCCGTCCTTTCTGTCCTCCCACTACCTCTTACTGGGCCGTCTTGTTGACTCCATTATATTAAAGGTGTTTCACTTTAATACCCTTTTGCATCAAGGTCTAAAAAGGTAAATATTCACCTTTTACAAATGGTCGCCACTCCCAGATCTCGGGTTCATCGTTTATTTGCCATTGTCCTGTTCTCCCAGTGTGTGCAGAGAGTCGAAGGTAGCAATCAACAATTAAAACGGTGAGTGAGTTGTGCAGAAGGACAGTACGGATCCCGGTATGGTCCCACCTGTGTGAGAAGTTCTTGGAAAGTTGTGACATCCCTGAAATGTATGACATCCCGCTGTTGCTCTGAAGTTTAGGTGCTGGGGGCGGTTGTGATGAAATCTAAAATAAGTTCCCGCCACGGAGAGTTCGTTCTGTTTAATCCCTAAGATGTTTGCAGTATTGGGAATGAATCCTAAAGTCTCTGTGTGTTTTAGAGTAAACCTGGCAACGCTGGCACTGGGCTACGTCACGTCGTCAGTGTTGGTAAGTCTAAACTTCCTGTGCCTCGGTATAGAAAGGATGGAGTATGTCCAGCGACCGGAGTCTCTTCCAGCCTGTGTAACTCAGAGCCCGAACTCTCCTCCCTCCAGGCGGCCACTAAGTGCGACAGCATGACCCTGACGCTGGGTCCCTGGCTGGGCCTTCCAGCGGTGCCAGCCGTGACCCTGTACCGGCACGAGGACCCGGCTCTGGTGAGCACAGCGCCACCCGTCTGCTGTGCACCGGCCACGTTTTCACCAAGAGAAAAAGCGCTGCTCAGTGCTTTTCATTGCTATATCAAGCGGTTGCACTGAATTCGGCATTGGACCCCAACAGTGAAAGACATACAAGACAAATAGACAACATGAAGCCGATAAAGAGACAGGTCGACAACACAAAACTGATAATAGATAGGCAGTTTTGATTAAAATTGAATGGCAGTTTTTTTGGGTCAATATGTAACATGCAGTACATCCATTTACATTGCCTGAGCTTTAGAGGAAAGATATTTTGGTCATTGTTCCCTCCGGCCCCCTGGGGGCGCTGTGTGTTGCAGTCCCTCGCCGCCGGCCTAACCTCCAGCCAGCCAGTGGAGAAGCTCCGCGCCCTGCCGCTCTGGCTTTCCCTGCAGTACCTGGGGCATGATGGGATAGTGGAGCGGATCAGGCACGCCTCTCAGCTCGTGAGTGCCCACTGTCCCCGTCGTTTTCAGGCACCTGTGGCGAAGTGGAGGACACAGACGAGCCACACGGACTGCCTGGCTAAGTTTAACTCAAAATTCCCTTCAGAAATTGCAGGCTGCTGTTTGTATTTGTTTGATCTGTTTGGTTGTCAAAATGAATCAACTTAATTTCCTGTCATCTGCAGAGCCAGAGACTCCTGGACCATTTGAAGAAGCTGACTTGCATAAAAACTTCGGTATGTCATTTCATTCATTAATGATAGCTCCGCTGAATAATGACTTACTTACAGTCTAACTCTGTGTTATCCCCAAACTGTACTGACAACTGTAATATTTTTATTTAATCCAGATCTTAACCCGTTTGGTTACATTTTTTCTGTGGCAATTTTAAATGGGCTGGCTCCACATGCGAGTTCATTAATAATAATAGCCATACAGGGTAGAGAGCAAAGCAGTGCGTAAGATGTACAGTATAGCTGCGTTATGAAGTCCCTGAGTGGTGCATATCCTTTGAGCACGGAAGAAAATATCGCTGGTACAGAAATCCAAATCCAGTCAAAGCTCCATTCGTGTGAGCCGCTCTGGTTGAACAGGACAGTTGCTCTGCCTGTGCTCACTCAGATGCCGGCGGCTCTGATGCTGCGTCACCCGGAAGCACTTGCCCTGTAGCGCTTGCCCCGTGAACACGAGCTTCTGTTTTGTTGCTGCCGCCAGGACGACGTTGACAGGGTGATGTCTCTTCTCGAGGCCCTGCACATGGTAAAAGAACAAAACACAGGGGCAGACGAAGCCCCGCTAACCGAGTCGAATCTAACCTGCGTGTGTCTGCAACTAGTGAGAGTGGGTGCCTTGGTTTCAGGGTCTGGTCTCGAGGTCCCGGGTGCCCCCGATTTCAGCAGGCTCTATGAGGGATGTCCTGGGCTCTCTGATTCTGTCCATTGTAGGTGGGATCAACCCCTTTGCCTGCTCTCACCCTCATCTCCCTCATCTTCCTCCCTTTTCATCCCTCATGTCCCATGCTCGCAATCCGAGGCGCCAGACAGTGATCCAACTGCGAGAGAATAAGGGGGTCTTACACCCAGTATTGCTTCTGTACCCCGCGGGGCTGTGGCCTGCTCTAAGAAAAGGGTGCAGTGTCACGTGACCTGTCACGAGTCGGGGTAGAGCTGGGGCCCAGCCAAGAACATTGTCCTCTCTCCTGCCCACAGGCCTGTGGTGGCAGGAGCCATGTGGGATAGCACCTGCGTTCAGAAACGTGACTGTCCCGCTTGCAGAGTAACACAGAGGGCCTGCCAGCCCCTACTCGCTACTCACACCCCTTAGACTCCCCGAGAGTGACAGGCGCCCTGCTTCAACAGGGTGCGGGTAGAGATGGAAGGCCAAGGGGGTTGTGGGAAGTCTCGTCCCCCTCAGCACCTCCCATTCCCGCAACCATCTCCAGCCTCAGACGCAAGAGCTCAGCTCAAGCCAAACCACATCTGCTGTGAGGCAGCACCATTGAGCGCACAAGGTCTCGGTAAAGCCCTCCACAGAGGGCGGCGGTTTCGAGCGGAGCAGACACGCGCCCGGACACAGATTCAACTGCACTTGCAGACACACCCCCCTTCTCCGGCTTTACTGCGAGCCTGTTTAACCAGTCTGCTGCCTCTAACACGCGTCTTATTAACCGCCGTTAAGCAGGCTCTGTAAAGCTGCTGGGTTTTATTTAATAAAGGGTGTGAAAGTGTCTCCTGGCTGGGCTGATATTGGCAAAGTGTATGGCAGTGACTTCTGGATCGGCGCAGAAGGTGCAGCATTGGGTTTGGCTTGGGGAGGCTCTTGTGCTTCCTCTCCGACACTCATCAGTGATGTTGGGCACCGCTCCTCTCAATGTGCACTGTCAGCTGTTGTCGGCTCCCCGTGGTGCCATGTGTCGGCCAGTGTCGTGCTCTGTGCGGCTCTCAGGTGTGTAGTCCCCCAACAGGGCGCGTCGCAGAAACAAAATCACATCGGTATGGGTGTCCAGGGAAGACCCGGCTGTTCTTGTAAAACTAGGAGGTGGGGTTATACAAGGACGTGAGGCTCTGCCGTGTGTTAATTAACATTCACCTTAAGCACTAAAAATGGACAATTCTGCAGAGGCGACCCAACTGCTTGGATACTGCAATGGGGGGCTCATTGTTCATCGGGCTTGCACATTAACCATGGACCTGCATGGGGATACAGGGGCCTGGTGGGCTGGCATCAATGTAGCATTTCAGGAAGGTGAATGAAAACACTTTTCCTGAGCGCTGAAACTCGCCTATAGAAAATGGTGCATAGTCCTGGATATTTGAGCAAATAATCTAGAGAATCAAGCGGACTTGAGGGTGTAATTTATAGCCAATCGTGATCAAAGTATGTTGTGATACAAGAAAGATCAGCAACTATAGTTCAATACAGAATCAGATATACAGTAGAATATATTAATATGTAGTTAAGACAGTTGCACTGGTTTAGTTTTTCTTATCCTCTATTTCTGTGTGCCATATTATTGTATGGATAGAGGTCAGTGATCACATCATTATTTGATAGAGTGCCTGCTATCTGCAAAATGTGTGTTTTCTAAACTACTATTGTCTGTCTGTCAGGTGGAGGATGAGCTGAACTCCCCGGTTGTGGTGTTCAGGTTCTGTCAGGAGGGCAGTGCAGGTAAGAGACACTGTGGCCTCTTAGTGCTGGGCTCTCAGG